TATATACATAATCAGAATAAAATGTTTCCTTAGTCTTATGACATCTTCATGATTACTGGTATACTTGAACCTATGGTTGTAGCCATTGAGGTTGGCTCTCCACTTTATGAAACATATCCTCCTTTCTCCTTGATGAATCAAAATGTTGTATGCTATTGTGTCCACTATTCAGTTCTCACAGGGAGGCTATCAACAATAGATCTGAACCCTGCCCTATCTTACACCATCCTCATCATCTCTGATAAACTCGAGTCCATTGCTACACTCACTGTGTCAGTCTTTCTTGTTGAAAGTCTTCATCTTCTCCCCACCCACTTGTTGTGTACCATTGAGTCAGATCCAACAGGCACAGGAGGAGATTGCCCTTTGTGGAACATCTGGTGGATTTGAACTGTGTGCTTTTGGGATTGTAGTGCTGCTTCTTGCCACAAGGCCACCAGAGCTCCCTTGGTTTTCATCTCTTATGCAGATCCTCCACCTTTCCACGCACAATGTTTTTTCCAAGAACAGGCCCCTCCTAACAACAAGCCCAAAATATGTGAGATGAAGCTTCACCACTCTAATCACCAAAGAACACCCTGGTTGTACTCTCTCCAAGTCAAACTTGTTTGTTCATTTGGCACTCTATGGGATATTGAATACTTTTCTATAACAACACACTCAAAGGCACCAGTTCTTCTGTAACTTTAGTCATTGTCCAACTGTCAGACACATAGCAAATAATTGAAAAGACCATGATATGGCTCAGATACTAGTCTTTAAATTGACATCCTTGCTCTTGAGCATTTTGGAAAAGTTTGGATAACAGATTTTCCCAATGCCATACATCGTTTGATTTTTTGACTGCTGGTACCAAGCTTATTGATTGTGGATTGAAATAAGATAAAATCATTGACAACCTCAATCTTTCTCCATCTATCATGAATCAAAATAAGAAAACAAAAATCTGGAATAACATAGAATGCCTTTCTGCAGATGTTCTGTAGCTCTTCAGATGCGAAGTTTATTAGATATTAGCAGAATACCACTTAAATTTTTTGTATTTCTAGTCACTCCTGGGGGTAGGTGTGTCAGACACTATAAGGTTGGTTTAGGATAGAGCAGGGTTCAGAGCTGGTATACATAGGGTCACTATGAGTTGCAGGTGACTCAACAGTGCACAGCAACAACAACATCATCATTAAATAACAAGCATTAAATGTTTACTATATACTACTAGTCAGTGTTGTAGGCATGTGATATGTTTTAATGACTAAAACATGGAAGTTCTCTGTCCTATGGGGTTGTTAGTCTAGTGTAGAACACACACAGTGAATATAATAAAATAGATTACCTAGAATGTCAAAGTCATGAGTACTATAAGGATAAAGTAAGATTGCATGTGAAGGAATTAAGAATGTGCTGGTGAGAGAATGGAGAATAGACTGACAGGACAGGTTAGACCTCACTGAGAAGGTAAAAACTTAGTAAAACAAAGAATGTGAGGGAATTAGGTGAGTAGATAGTAGGGGAGAGGAGCATTCCAGGAAGTGAAAGTACACAGAGCAAAGGCCTTTGAGTGGGAATGAGCAGCAATGTGAGGGCTCCAAGGGGTTGGGATGTGGGAGAGGGGGGTGTGTAGTATGAGATGAGATCAGAGCTGAAAAGGTGAATTTTGAGGCCTTTGGATTTGCTTGGGCGAATCCAAAATGTGAAACTGGTTTAGAGTTTTGAGCAGAGGGTTCATGATCTGACTTCTCCTTTAAGAAGGTGAGGCAGGTACCATGTGGAGACTAGGCAGAAGAACTCTAGAGGGGCAGGAAGAATTGTATTAGGAGATGACAGCAATCTAGCTGAGAAGTGAGAGTGGTTTAGACCATGGTGGTTCCTCCATCACCGTGGGAGCTCCCTAGGTTTAGCAAAAGAGAGGAAGTCAGATTAACACAGTGACTTTGACATGAACTGGAACATGGTAGAGATGAGGATGACATAGGATAGAGCAGCATGCTGGATCTATTCATAACGTTGCTATGAGTTGTAACTAACTGGATGACACCTAACAAAAAAAAATAACAAACTGGAAGAAAAGTGCTGATGTCAGTTGCAATAACAAAGGTCTTATGGGGAAGCAGAATTTTGGTGGCAAAAAGTGGATGTCAAAATAACAATAAAACAAAAACTGAAGATATGCCAAGAGAACACAGTTTTCCCAGTGAATTGTCCAAGGATGAGAAACCATCAGTGTCAGAAGTTGCTAATATGCCCCATGGTGGACATTGTGGATTTAGCTGCATGTTGACTTTGAGGGGAATTGCTGTGGTGGAGTCATGGAGGAAACAATTTTGCAGGAATATGTGTGAGAGAGAATGAGAATGGATGAATTGGCATGACTCTTGTGCTACACAGGCATCAGAGGAATGGGAGAGGAGGCACTATTGTCATTACTTAGTTTTTCATGAAAGAAATAGCAGAATGTATTCAGGCTGAAGGAGTGTGATCCAATGTGGTATAAGAAAATTAGTGATAGAGGTAAGAGACTTCCTAGAAGACTGTCTTCAAAGAGGCAATAGATGAAGGGAGGTGGAGGTTATACACAGATGGAAGTTATTCACAGATACACAGGTGGTGGGAGCCTGTGGAAGGTCTGTCACTAGTCACTTTGTGACAAAGGAAGCTTAGAGACTGTGTGAAGACCTGGTGGAGTCCCAGGGAAAGGAATTTATTGATTTCTTCTTTATCCCTTAAGTCTTAACATTCATTGGTGGGGTTTCTCTGTCTTGGGCTCTAGGGATGTGAACACCTCCATCATGGAGCTCCTGATCATGGTTTATGCCTGTAAGACTTCTTGTGCCAAAAGCATCATCGGAGTGATTCCCTACTTTCCTTACAGTAAGCAGTGCAAAATGAGAAAAAGAGGCTCCATTGTCTCCAAGTTGCTGGCTTCAATGATGTGCAAAGCTGGTAAGAGTGGCAGATGTTTGGGTCTGGGAATATTTTTATTTCTGAAATAAAAAAGCATTGTCTTGATTAAATTCAAATGCTAAACCGTGTGAAAATACTGATGCAGCTTTTAAACACAACCAGCTTATAGGAAAATGGAGAAATCTGTCCTGCCTCCAACTCCCTAAAATACAAAAGAAATAAAATTATTTTAAAGTTGTTTTTCCTAAATTACTTATTAAAAAGTATACTTCTATGACTGATTATGATTATATTAAAATAATTTTCAAAAGAGAAAAAGTAATTCAGAGGCTAACAGACCACACTAACAGAAACTTTGTCATTTAGTTTTCCCTTAACTGGGACAAATATGTGTCTTCTGTAAACCATGTAAATAATTTTGCATTACATGTTTTTTTCCTTGTTTCTAAGTAAGCATCGTAATTTTTAGTGTGTGTACCTGTATATGCATGGAGGTTATGTACGTGTGTACATGCATGTGTATAAATCATTTAGGCAGAGCAGAAGATTAAAAAAAATCCTTATATCAGTGCATTTTAACATAAGACACTTTGAGTTCGTTAATGTAGCATGTCAGAGAAAGATAAACAAATGTAAAAATGCCAAGCGCTAGCAACTTAAAAAGTATGTCCCAACTGAAAACTCAAGCCTCACGAGTCGAGTTGTATGGAAAGGTCTCACCGCTTCCTTTTCTCCTTGCCTCTGGAGCACCAGGCTTACTTTCTTAGTCTTTTGGGCAAGTTTTGCATTTAAAATGTTTCCCATTGAGTTTTTGTTGGATTTTTATGGTGGTCATGTTGAGTTGGTCAGAACATTCAAAGAATAGGCCTTGCTGTGGCCTTTCCAGGGAGCATCGAGGAGCTAGTCTGCCGTAATGGAATGATCAGAGACATTTATTCATTACTGTCATCTTTAGTTTTTCAAAATTTTAACTTGATGAGCAAGCAGTACACTGCATAGTACTAAATATTGAGGAAAATCAAAGTGCCAATTTTTCTTAATGAAAGTATAATCATTTCACAGTAATTTAATATGCACAATATTTTAAGTAGTCATGTTTTATCCAGTGGAATGATTATTAAACTATATGCTTTTATCTCCTTTGTTTTCAAAGGTCTAACTCATCTTATTACTATGGATTTACACCAGAAGGAAATTCAGGGATTCTTCAATATTCCTGTTGATAATTTAAGAGCATCTCCCTTTTTGTTACAGTATATTCAAGAAGAGGTGAGGTAACTCAAAACTATTTTATTTTACAGTTCGTTTAAGATTGAAAGGTTGTTGTTGTTATGTGCCATCGAGTTGCTTGAGACTCATAGCGAACCTATGTACAACAGCCCTAAACTCCGCTCTGTCCTGTGCCA